CTGACTGGAAACCTGGCTCTTTGACTGACAGTCATGTCAGCCATGGCATTTCTTGCTTCTCCTTAATTCCTCTTTTTCTTTTCTCTGTCTTTATCTCTCAAGTAAGAGATAGGAGGAAAAGATAATCCATCTTTTAAATATTTCTCAAGGTAAGTCCCAAACACTGATTAGATATTAAGTGTTTTTCACTCTTTTAACAGATATATATTGTGTTACTCTGTGTACCAGACACTGAACTATGAATGTATCCTTCAAAGGGCTCCTGAATCTTATGGTCTAGGAGGGAATGTTAGTCATTCAGTTCTGTCCGATTCCTTGCAATCCCATGGCCTGTAGTTTGCCAGGGTCCTCTGTCTGAGGGATTCTTCAGGCAAGAATACTGTTGTTGGTTGCCACACCCTTCTCCAGGGGATCTTCCTAACCCAGGGATTGAACTTGGGTGTCCTGCCATGCAGGCAGATTCTTTACCATCTGAGAGGCAGGCATTAAACAAGTAATTTAATGGCACTATTTGTTGAAGAGGATATGCAGTGCCTTATAAGAGGAAAAGGTCAAGAGAATGTGTGGTATTTGGGATGTGAATAAATGGAAGATATAATAATTTGTTCCCAGGGCAAAGAGATTAGTTTAGACAAAGAACTTAGAGTGAGAAAGTAAAGATGGGTTAGAAAAATGGATGAATAAAATTTAATGGGACTATTTGTTAAAGAATGTTTGAAACCATTAACAGGGTTAAAGACATTGTGAATTTTTAAGTGATACATAGTAAGCACTATTTTCCAAACTATTTTAGGTCCTTTTTCCCTTGTTTTTCTTAGGGAATCTCCAGAGAACCATGTTCCTTTAAGAGAACCGAAGAAGCGGCCTAGAAGCAGCAGAAAGAATAAAGAAAAATCTTGTCTTAATTGAAGAAAGTAAGAGAGAAGAAAAACTATGATGGATACAGAATCCCAGGCATCCACCCTTTTCACCTCATCCAACACATTCTGATGGAGAAGGAAATGGTAACCCACTCCAATATTCTGGTCTGGGAAATCCCATGGATAGAGGAGCCTGGTGAGCTCCTGTGTCCATGGGGTCACAAAGAGTCGGACAGGACTGAGCAACTGAACAATAAGAACAAAACTTTGAACCTTTTAGTCATATTTCTACACGTTGGGATTTCAAGGCTTCCGCATCCTATCTCCCAGAGTTTGCTCAAATTCATATCCATTGAGTTGGTGGTGCTACCTAACCATCTCATCCTCTGCCACCCTCTTCTCCCACCTTCAATATTTCCCATCATCGGGGTCTTTTCCAATGAGTCAGTTCTTCGCAACAAGTGGCCAAAGTATTGAAGTTTCAGCTTCAGCTGAATGAATATTCCAATGAATATTCAGGACTGATTTCCTTTAGGATGGACTGGTTTGATCTCCCTGCTGTCCAAGGGACTCTCAAAAGTCGTTTCTAGCACCACAGTTTGAAGGCATCAATTCTTCGGCGCTCAGTCTTCTATATGGTCCAACTCTCACATCCATACATGACTACTGGAAAAACCATAGCTTTGACTACGTAGACCTCTGTCAGCAAAGTGATATCTCTGCTTTTTAATAAGCTATCTAGGTTTGTCATAGCTTTTCTTCCAAGGAGAAAGTGTCTTTTCAATTTCATGGCTGCAGTCACCATTGGCAATGATTCTGGAGATCAACAAAAGAAAATCTGTCACTGTTTCTACTTTTCCCCCTTCTACTTGACATGAAGTGATGGGACCAGATGCCAAGATCTTCATTTTTTAAACACTGAATTTTAAGCCAACTCTCCTGTTTCACACTCATCAAGGGGCTCCTTAGTTCCTCTTCATTTTCTGCCATTAGAGTGGTATCATATCTGAGGTTGTTGATATTTCTGCCAGCAATCTTGATTCCAGCTTGTGATTCATCCAGTCCAGTTTTCTTCATGATGTACTCTGAGTATAAGTTAAATAAACAGGGTGACAATATACCGTACTCCTTTCCCAACTTGGAACCAGTCTGCTGTTCCATGTCCTGTTCTAACTGCTGCTTCTAGACCTGCATATGGGTTTTTTAGGAGACAGATAAGTTGGTCTGGCATTCCCATCTCTTTAGAAATTTTTCAGTTTTAACTGATCCACACAATCAAAGGCTATTGTCAATGAAGCAGAAGTAGATATTTTTCTGGAACTCCTTCCTTTCTCTGTGATCCACCAAATGTTTACAATCTGACTCTGGTTCCTCTGCCTTTTCTAAACTCAGCTTGTACACCAGCAAGTTCTCAGTTCACATGCTTCTAAGACTAGCCTCAAGGATTTTGAGCTTTACCTTGCTGAAAGAAAGTGAAAACGTTAGTTGCTCTGCTGCTGCTAAGTCACTTCAGTCGTGTTCGACTCTGTGAGACCCCACAGACGGCAGCCCAGTAGGCCCCGCCGTCCCTGGGATTCTCCAGGCAAGAACACTGGAGTGGGTTGTCATTGCCTTCTCTGGTTAGCTGCTCAGTCTTGTCCAACTCTTTGTGGACCTATGGACTGTAGCCCTCCAGGCTCTTCTGTCCTTGAACGCAATTTGGTAATTGATAGAGTATAGTACGATAGTTTGAACATTCTTTGGCAGTGCTCTTCTTTAGAACTGGAAATGAAACTGACCTTTTACAGTCCTGTGGCCACTGGTGAGTTTTCCAAATTTGCTGACATATTGACATATTGAGTGCAGCACTTTAACAGCATCATCTTTTAGGATTTTAAATAGCTCAGCTGGAATTCCATTACTTCCACCAGCTTCGTGCACAGTAATGCTTCCTAAGGTCCACTTGCCTTCACACTCCAGGATGTCTGGTTCTAGGTGAGGGATCACACCATCATGGCTATCCAGGTCATCAAGACCTTTCTGTATAGTTCCTCTGTGTACTCTTGCCGCCTCTACGTAATACCCTTTGCTTCTGTTAGGTCCTTCTCATTTCTGTCCTTTATCATGCCCATCTCTTGCATGAAATGTTCCCTTGGTACCTCCAGTTTTCTAGAAAAGATCTGTAAAAAGAGAAAGTCTTTCCCATTCTGTTGTTTTCCTCTATTTCTTTGCATTGTTCACTTAAGAAGGCTTTCTTATCTCTCCTTCTAGTCTCTGGAACTCTGTTTTCAGTTGGGTATATTTTTCCTTTACTTCCATGCCTTTCACTTGTCTTCTTTCCTCAGCTATTTGTTAAGCCTCCTCAGACAACCCCTTTGCCTTTTTGCATTTCTTTTTCTTTGGGATGGTTTTAGTCACTGCCTCCTGTACAATATTATGAAGTTCCATCCATAGTTTTTCAGATGCTGTCTACCACATCTAATCCCTTGAATCTATTCTTCATCTCCACTGTATAATCATAAGGGATTGGAAAAATAACTCCTGCTTTTTCTTTAAACATTTGACACTTTCTCTCAGTTTTTGTTGTTCCTTAAATACAAATGTTTCTGGCCTAGCCATCTTCACATGTACATGCTCTCAAGGGGCAAATTCACACTGCAAATAAAAATTATAACACTTGCTAACATAAACTGACATATGCTTGATCACAATCACATTCCAGATTGTGTTCTACATGCTTTATTTGTAGTATTTCATTTGAACTCATAAGGTGTGTGTGAATAGCTACTGTCTTTATAATAATATTACACTAAGAAATGAATGTACAAAAAAGATGAAGTAACTTGACCAAGGTTTCCAAGTTTTCAACTTGAAAAATACATCACATTTAACAGTGGTTCCAATAGGGGCTTTCCAGGTGGTGCTAGTTATAAAGAATCTGTCTGCCAGTGCAGGAGACGTAAGAGACACGGATTCTATCCTGGGTGGGGCAGATCTCCTGGAGAAGGGCATGGTAACCCATTCCAGCATTCTTGCCTGGAAAATTCCACGGACAGAAGGGCCTGGAGGGTTACAGTCCATGGGGTCACAGAGTTGGACACGACTGAAGCGACCTGCAGACAGCACAGCCAATCCCAACAGAATTCCATCTCTAAACCTTAGCACGTCAACATGCTGTTTTCCTGGACCTCCCCCCATAATTTGTTCAATTCTAACATGTAAATATGTTGTCCTTATCTCAGTTACTTTTGTTAGAAACTGAATAAAATCTTAACTTCCATCAACAATGGAAAATATTAAATAAATTACACTGTGTTTCTACTGTGACATACAGTGATTAAAAATAATGAGGCATTTATAAATACAGTAACATGGAAAGTTGTCCACGACCTATTGGTGAGTGAAAAAATAAAACTTTAAAACAAAGGATCCAGCAAACGAATGGCAGACACCCATATATGCCAAAGAATGTAAGGAAATATCGGTAAGACTATTTGTCAAACTTAAGAACAGGACTTGGGAGCGGGGTAATGAGGAAAAGTTATGATGTGATCCTATATGCTTCTGAATTATTTACTTTTTTCATAATGGGCTCATGCCATTTGTATAAGGCAAAAAATAACATTAGGGAATGGGATAACAATATTTGATGATACCATGATTTAGCCAGATTTCCCTGCATTATTTGTTCTATTTTATTTTTCTGACTTTATTTTCCTTTTCCTTCTCCATACACGGCCTAGATGCCAATTACACTGAGCTTTTTCTTTTCTAAACATTTTCTTTTGCTTCCATCTCAACCCACAGTACTCTATTTCCTTAAATTTAATCTCTGTAAAGAAAATCATGCACATTTTATAATTTCATACATATTTTATAAAAAGAAGAGTCCAAATATTCAGGAAATTTTCTGCATTTTGAATCAAAAAGATTTCATAAATTAAACATATTTCCTGAAGTTTAAGTTTTTAGAAAATAATTAATAGTTACTAAGTTTCTGTCTAGGTAATTACATTTCTTGTAAAAAGATGGTTTACTTAAACATTAAGGATATTGTGACAGCCTTGAATGATTTTTAGAATGAGGTGGAGTGCACACACACGCAAAGAGAAAGATGCATTTCATTCTAAACATTAGAAAATAAAAAAACAAGTTTCTTACCATTGTGAGAGTAAATGGATGGTTTTCTAATGCAGACACACTGGGACAATGTAGAATAATGTACTAAAAAGCAACAAACAATTTTTAAATGACCAAGAAAGAAGTTCAAATATCTTAATAATGCTAATTTTGAAAAAACAGATAAAAGGTATTTTAAAAGTTGCTGGATATTGACTCACCTGGCCAGGTCTTGCTTTAAAATTTTCTTTGACCATTCGGATTTCCATGACATCTGATGGATGACTTGTGACTGAGATGATGGTGACTGGCTTATTGCTCCGGATACACCTGTAAAGCCTTTCAGCACAATATAGGCACAAAGGTCCAGAAATCCAAAGCCAGGTCTAATGGAGAATTTTTGAAATACACTTTAAGAAATACTTGTGTTATAGGACTCTTTATATCCTGCCTCACTGCTTATTTGACACATTACAGTAATAATACAGCAATGATAATTTAATCTGTATTTGAAATAACAAAGTGTAAAGAAAAATGGGTAAAAAGCAACAGATGCTCACTGCAACTTACTGAAACAAGAATAAAGTATAAAATAGAAGGGAAAGTAATGTCTGGACCCTACCCTCAAGCCAATATCAAGGGTATAGCTACCATTAACAGGTAGTTTATTGTTTCATATATCCTTCTGGGCCCACAAGAAATATATGTTGTATATATACAATATCTTTCTCTAAAGGAAGAAGAAAGAGAAGTAAAAGCTTAAGTAAATCTGGAGTATTTTAGTAAAAAATGTACCAGTCTAATATTTGTTTAAAAAGAAAAAGAGAACCCTAGGTATTTTTAATATACACAATATGCATGCATAATATACATATACAAAATGTATACCCAATGTAAAATATGTATATGTACATATTTTTAAATATGGGCATACCACATGTGTTGTTCACAATTTACTTTTACATAATATAACACGAACAGAAGATACCATTTAGAATTTGGAAACCATGACAATTTTGCATGTATGCTGGAGGCATAACGCTCATCCCAGGATAACTGCATAGCCTGTGTGGTCAACCTTTCTCCTACAACTACACACTTTATCTCTCTCAACACTTGGAGGCCCCCAACCCAAATATATTTTCATGGTCACCTTTTAAAACCTAAACTACAGAGTTATTCCAGAAAGTCCTTCTTCCATGCAGATTATGCCTGCTCCTCACATTTATTGGGTTGGCCAAAAAGTTTATTCAGATTTTTGCATTTCCATCTTACAGAAAACCCCAAATGAACATTTTGGCCAACCCAACAGTTAGAAACTTTGTGCAGAGTAAGCATCACAGGACAAGCTCTGCAACTTTGGGATGTTGCTTAGCCTTTGGGCATCACACAAGTAAAATGGGACTCACAATACCTGCCTTCCCTAACATAAAGCATTGTGTGAAGCCAGAAAAGCTCTGAAGATTGTAAAGCTTAAAAGAAATCTAGAGGATTATGTTTAATAAGAAAACAAGACAAACACACTCATTCCAAAGGCATCTACAAATCGCTCTCTCTTGACTCCCTTTTCTTCTTCTTAAAACAGACATTTAATTTCACTATTTCCCGACTTTCCTTTGGTACAGACACAGAATACAGGGTGTGATACCCATGTGGGCAGCTCCCACGGCTACAAGGGAAGATTATGACTCTTACCAAACTACTAGATGGGTATTTTGGGAAGAAGTTTTGTAAGAGCAAGATAACTTGGTTTTGTACTCTTCTTCTCCTACAAGTTAGTTTACATATGTTGGTCAGAGTATATTTACATATTTAAACCACAATTTCCTCATCAGAAAATTAAGGCTGACAATAATTGCTTCAAAGAGCTATGAATATTTTAAAAAATGCATATAATGTATTTTAGCACAGCCCCAAGAAGATGGTATTAAGCATTCAATATACTGATTTTACAACTCAGTATTTCTAATATTATACATAATATTGGACCATAATAATATTATACCATAATTTCCTTATCAGAAAATTAAGGATGATGGTAATTGCTTCAAAGAGTTATTGTGAATATTAAAAAAGCATACAATATATTTTAGCCAGCCCCTAGCAGATGATATTAAGCATTCAATAAATTTATTTTACAGCTTAGTGTTTATAATATTATACATAATATGACACTATACTATAATAATTATTAGTAGTAGTACTAGGTTTTTCACTATTATTTTTCTTATTCAACCTACTTTTCTCAATGCATAAGGAATGTATCTTTGCCACCTTTCTTATGGTAAGCACCAGTGCCACAATTTGCAAAGATCATATGATGAGTTAAACAGGAATTTTCTATATTCTGTAATATCATAGATCTACTCATTGAACTGTAGGCTGCCTATTATGGAAAAACAGGTACTAATTTGCTACTGAAACAGCCTGAAACATTCTCTTCTGCAAGAATAATTGCTTTATTACCTTCAAAAACATGTTTAAATGCAATGCTGATCAATTTTTTATGGGAACATGGACTTTGCAGAAACCAGTAAAGGCATAGGACTAATCTGACCTGTGGAAAATTAGCTTGGAACCTGGGCTCTTCCATACAAATCTTCACAAACGTGTTCTGGGTAAGTTCATCAGGCTTTAAAAATCCTCCAGGAGAAGATTCATGAAAATGTTCTGAGAAATGCTCTGGTAAATGAGTATTCTGGTAGTGGGTTCCATTAAGATTCATGCAGCCAGGAGGGTGGGTATCTAAATTTGTCTGATACTTCAGCAGCCCTCTAAAGTTCAGAAAAAAATAAAAACAAAGATAAAAAGGGACTTGAAATCAGAGGCACATTATAATAAAATAATCTTTTTCCTTGTTGACTTTCACATACCATTTATTCAAGAAGTGCTTCTCATATACCTTATATAACATTGAGAAATCTTAAAAATCTTAACAAATTTATTACCATGAAACTACATTAAAAAATTTGGTTCCCCTCCCCCAAAATACACCATAAATACATGGTAGGGAAGACACATGCAATCTTTCCAAATATTCTTGCATTTGACAGCTTTTATTTCAAGTCTATTAAGCATTTATAAAATCACATTCAAGTTTTCACTTCAATAAACACTATAATATGAGGCTTTTGCTATAATTTCAAACACAAATGGAAAAGTACAGGGTTCATATTTGATTTGGCTAAGATGAGACAAAACAAGCCTTGCTGATTCACAGGGAAATGCTAAACAAACACAATAACAGAAACTGGAAGTGTGCATCTCCCATGGTTTGAAAAAAATTAATACACTCCATCAGACCCTAAACCTGTTTACTTTTCGATTTCTCCATAAACAAGAACCACAGAAAAGGCTCACAATAATGAATCAGGAAGGAAAACCTAAAACCCTAAAATCCCATTCTGATTATTTCATATTTTGTGAGATTTAAGGTAAGTCTTCAACTTTCTCTGTTCTGTATTTTTTATCAAAAGGAGTTAAGTAAGATCTACTTCATAGGGATAGTGCATCAAATCATAGATTTATTTATTTTTATTTTTTGCATAAGTAAATCTTGAAGGTAAGACTTTGAAAAGCATTGAAATGTTTATTTTAATTTTGAAAATATGAAAATTTTAGTTTCCAAAATTATTTTTCTTGGTTGGCTAAGAGTGTTTTTAAATTACCCTTCATGCTGACCCTAACCCTAAACCTTCATGTTTTAAATTACCCACATAATTTCAGTGTATTTTGAAAAGTACATCTTTAAGTTTACCACAGCTACAGTAATTATATAAATGATTTTTGCAAAGATAATATTTTAAAACAACAAAGACTATAACAAGAAAAACGATATGAAATAGATCTAATATATGAAAGTTAGGAAAGCAATGACTAAGTCAGTCTTTGGTGGAATGTACCATCTACTCAACCTGATCATTCTCTCATTTTCTCCTTATGCTTATGTTCAATTCCCTTTCACTCTTCATTTGATTTTACTTTCTTCCCATAACTAATCATCAGAGAACACACAGTACATGCAATGACCTTCTAAGTAGTGAATGAAATGCATGGACATTGTACAAGTGTGAAAGAAGTACATAATTCTTTATAAAGTTCTAGTCACATAATACAATTGTTGTGCCACTCTACTTAGAAAATCTGATAATTTGGTACAGCTTTGATTACAAGTAATGAGTTACCCAAACTTGCTGCTCCTACTGAGTAGTGGCTGACAGGTGGACAGGCCAAAAATCTGGAGCAGTTTTTCTATTGGCCATAAATTGAACAAACTGGCATAATGCAACCGGCATGATCCTAGGTGGTGCTACTGAGTTCAAGAAATACTCGAACTTGGCTCCTAACCCTTCAGAAACTCAAAATCCAGTTTTGAAGAAATCTTTAGAGAAGCTGAACATAATTCAGACCACTGGTGATGATGTCAGTATAGTGATTTAATGACAGCTTAGTAATGTATAGTAAGTATGAGGTTCAGTCCAAAACAACTTATATTCATTTCACATTATCCTCACAACAACTACTGTAAATAGAAATAACTATTTATCAATTAAGAAACTATTTTAACAGATTAAGTAACATCCCAGCAAGTAAGTGGCAGAGCCAAGATTTGAATCCAGGTTTGACTCAAATTCTATGCTCTTCACCTCTTACTATACAGCATGCTAACTCACTGGAACACTAGATCCTCAAAACTTTCATTTGAAAAAGATGACAGATGGACAGATCAATATTTACTAAGAAAGTATGTCAGAAAATTTGTAACCATCTATTTCCTACTTGAGTTTCTCTGGTGGCTCATTGGCAAAGAACCCGCCTGCCAATGCAGGAGACATGGGTCAGATCTCTGGGTTGGGAGGATCCCTTGGAGGAAATGGAAACTCACTCCAGTATTCTTGCTTGGAGAATCCCATGAACAGAGGAGCCTGGTGGGCTAAAGTTCACAGGGTCGCAAAAGAGTCAGACACGACTTAGTGACTAAATAACTAACAAAACTAAATAACTAAACAACATTAACAACGAATTTCCCACTTAAACTTCAAAATAACATACAAGGTGTTTTCATTCCCATTTTACAGATGAGAAACCCATATTGTTTAGGTCAGAGATTCAGTCAATAGTAGTCAACGCATGGGGCTTGACTGGTGGCTCAAATGGTAAAGAATCTGCCTGCAATGCAAGAGACCTGGGTTCAATTCCTGGGTTGGGAGGATCCCTTGGAGAAAGGAATGGCATGGTATTCAGACACTTGATCTCCCTCATTCCAAAAACCTGTATCATGCAAAGCAAATAAGTTGGTTAAAGAAGCAGACATCAAAGAAAGGCGTTCAATATGAACAAAAGCCTGGAAATTAGGTCAGATAGAGTGTGTGTGTATTTGTGCGTGTGAGAGAGACAGAGAGAGTGAGAGAGAAAGAAAGAGAGAAGGGGCTGCTGAACATCAGGCAAAGGAATGTAATTTATTCCTTCTCCTAAGTCATAACATCATTCAGGTTGGACATTACCCCATGTACAAATGGTCCTTATTAGGATAAATGTTGTTGCCATGCAGTACAAATCTTCAAGCCAGTCCAATCAAGTAAACAATGTTGTTCCTGGTATATAAAGTAGCACAAAATTTTCTAAAATCCCTTTTAATTTGGAGAGCTTTATGTTATTTTAAGCTGTTCTCAAGTTTAATGGCATAGATTACCTATGACTACGCCCATTAAAGTGGTATTTTCTTTGTCTTAGAATATAATTATTGTCATTGAAGGAACACCTACAAAGGAGAAAAGATCTACAGACAATGATAAACAAACAAAAATTACCGTTCATCAGAAAAAAAATCAAGTAAAAATCTTGGGGTTTTCGTATAAATTGTGTGTGTTAGTTACTCAGAGGTGCCCAAGTCTTTGCAACCCCATGGACTGTAGCCCACCAGGCTCCTCTGTCCATGGAATTCTCCAGGCAAGAATACTGGAATGGGTACCCATTCCCTTTTCCAGGGGATCTTCCTGATCCAGGAATTGAACCTGGGTCTCCTGCACTGCAGGCAGATTCTTTACCATCTGTGCCACCAAGGAAGCCCTTTGTATAAATTAGGTGGTAAAGATACTGAGGAGTTCAAAAGGTAGGACAGTGGCAGGTTTTGAACTTAGTATTAAAAGGAGAGGTAGTACATGCCAGACAGGTGCTTGCTGCTTTAATCTACTTAATCTATTTCCACAAACTTCATAATACATGTGTGTGGTAAAGATTAGTGGCCTCGAAGAAATTCAAAAAAGAGGGGATACAGGTATATATATAGCTAACTCACTTTGCCGTACAGCAGAAACTAACAGAACATTGTAAAGTAACCATACCCCAATAAAAGTTAGAATAAGAAAAGATCAGTCTCCTCATCCTAGAATGAGTAAAAACACTCAGAACTGTTAGGTGGTCTGCCCAAGACCACACTGTCAATCAGTGGTCAAGTCAGACAAAGGCCATGCTCCTTCCCGTGTACCAGGCTTGCTCTCCCTGCAGAATTTCCATTCTACTTATGAACAATATTCTGAAATCAAAGGCCAATGTAAGCAATGAATACAATTTTATGGCTCTACATGGCTCTATATATCTAGAAAAGGAAGTAGTATATTTCTAGCTAACCAATAATTTTATGTTATTTTTAAAGTTCAATGAAATGCAATAAACTTACCTTTTCATTGTACTAGTGAAAAGTAGAAGTGTTCATTTCTTTGGTACTAGTGCAGAGCTACGGGATAGCGCAGATAGCTACGGGAGTTGGTGATGGACAGGGAAGCCTGTCGTCTTGCAGTCCATGGGGTTGCAGAGTTGGACACGACTGAGCGACTGAACTGAAGTGCAGAACTTCTTAGAACATGCAACCTTAAATAAACATCTCTTTAAAAATTATATTTCAAGCCCTTAAAATACTTTCACTCTGAAGAATTTTGAATTTTGTTGTTGTTCAGTCACCAAATCATGTCCCATTCTCTACAACCCCATGGACTGCAGCACGCCAGGCTTCCCTGTCCTTCTCCATCTCCCGGAGTTTGCTCAAATTCATGTCCAGTGATTCAGTGATGCCATCCAACTATTTCATCCTCTGTTGTCCCTTTCTTCCCCTGCCCTCAATCTTTCCCAGAGTCAAGGTCATTTCCAGTAAGTCAGCTCTTTGCATCAGGTGAATTTTGAATAGGAATGTACATTAAATACTATAGACACTGGATTGACAGATAATATCAAATATCATCTTTTAATCCAGTTACTTCACTGTGAAAACATTTGTTAAAACTGAGTTCAATATGTGGTCTCTATGATTTATTTGAATCCCTAGTACCTATATTTATTTCAGCAGACATAATATACCTGCCTTTCTTTAGAGTTTAATGCAATAACAAAACTCACTTGAAGTAATGCTTTAAAAAATGCACAGCCCTCTTCTCTACCTGCCAAATAATTCTGATCTTCCTCATTGCCCTACAGCCCCACTGAGATATACCTATTTCACACTGATTGTTATTTAAGTTTTGAGACTGATTAATTTGAATGATATAGCCCCTGCCTTCAAGAAGCTTACAGTTGAGTGCACTGCTATCCAAAAGAACTTTATGTGATGGTGGAAATGATCTAAATCTGTGTTGTCCAGCCATGTGCTACACGTAGCTGTTGAAATGTGGTAGTACAGGCAAAAAATTGAATTTATCATATTATTTCACTTTAATTAATCTAAATTGAATAGCCATACCACAACTTTAATGGGTATAATTAGATATGAAAGCAAGAACAG